GCTGTACCCCAGACCAGGCTGTACCCCCAGACCAGCCTGTACCCTCAGATCAGGCTGGACTCTCAGACCACCCTGTACCCCCAGACCACCCTGTACCCCCAGACCAGCCTGTACCCCAGACCAGCCTGTACCCGCAGACCAGCCTGTACCCCCAGACCAGCCTGTACCCCCAGACCAGCCTGTAGCCCCCAGACCAGGCTGTACCCGCAGACCAGGCTGTACCCGCAGACCAGCCTGTAGCCCACAGACCAGCCTGTGCCCCCAGATCAGGCTGTAGCCCCAGACCAGGCTGTACCCCCAGATCAGCCTGTACCCCCAGACCAGGCTGTACCCCCAGACCAGGCTGGACTCTCAGACCAGCCTGTGCCCCCAGGCCAGGCTGTAGCCCCAGATCAGGCTGTAGCCCCCAGACCAAGCTGTAGCCCCCAGACCAGCCTGTACCCCCAGACCAATCTGTACCCCCAGACTAGCCTGTAGTCTCAGACCAGCCTGTACCCCCAGACCAGCCTGTACCCCCAGACCGCAGCATGTGATCACAGACATTTCTGTGTCTCCAGAGCAGCCTGTACCCCAGACAGAACCCGTGTTCCCTAGAGGGATCTTGTACCTCTGCCTGCACCTGTGTCCCGAGACCTAGCCTGTTCTCCACACACAGCTGGTAACCTCAAACAGCCTGCATTCCCCAGAAGCACCCACACTTACTGAGACAACCTGTGCCCCTGGAGAGAGAGTTTGAGTGCCTGGGGTCGGCTTGCTTTCCCCACGCTGGAGACAGGCCACGCTCCCATCCTGCAGGCCCTGGGAGACAGACCATTTTGATGCCAGCCCCCAAATGGAATCTGTGCCCATTCCCCACTGATTCCACCAAGCAGAGCTCTCGCCAAACACCCCCCAACGTCCCAGCGGAGACCTTGTGCCTCCGGGAAACGTGCTTCTTCATTTCCTGTGCCCCACAGCCCTCACTGTTCCACAGAATGGCCTTTCACCCCTGGCGACGCCAGAGAGCTATCCCATAGCTCGCACTCTCCCTGACAGGACATGCCATGCCCTGCACGTATAGCAGTGTGACATCCTATACCCCTTGGGAGCAGGAACGGGCTCTGGCTCCATATCGGACAACGCTCACAGTCCATCTGGGATGTCACAGGCTTGATCATCCACATGAGATCTGCAACACTCTACTCTCCCATAACTGATGTCCCATAACCTCAGTGCCCCTCAAAGAAGATCATTTACGCCTCTGGGCTCCAGATGGGATTTCCCTCCTCACGTACCTAGATATGGTATCTTACATCCATAGGATCCCAAATAGGATGTCCCAAATCCTTGATAGCAAAGTGGGATGCCCAGCACTCCTTGGTGTGTGAGTTTCCCACCCACTCAGAGTCTGGATTAAACACTTCACTTCTGCAGATGGGCTAGGTTTTTTTGCCCCTTAGAGTCTCAAGCGGGAAGTTCCCAAACTTCTGCAGAATGGGATGCCCTGGTAATCATATGCTTGTGTAATATGCTTAGATGCTTATGTGGTACCCATGCTCTGTTCGAAGTACTTCGCATGCATGAACTCATTAATCCTCGTATCCTCATAGCAACCTTCCAAATAGTTATTATCATCCCCATTTTACAGAAGTTAGAAATGAGGAGTGAGGAAGGTTAAGTGGCTTAATCTATGCACCCAGGCTAGTCATATGGGATTTGAACGCTGGTTGTCTCTGTTCTTAACAACTACACTATATGGCATCTCACTAGCCCACAAAGATGTCCCAAAGGTCCTCGTTGTCCTGGAGGGAATGTCCCCTGCCCCAACCTCACTGCATAAGGCAGGATTCCTCACATCCCTTGATGCCCCACTATTGGTCAGAAAGGACTTCAACCTCCTCACAGGACCGTCTCCATCATCCCCCAGTCCTGACCCTCCAGAAGCTCACAACTTCCATTATCTCCGAAACATCCCACACATTGCCCTGCCCATCAAAGGATATCCCATATTTCCCTGGGCTGCACAGGGAGAGGGTGTGTGTGACCCATCCTACTCTTTTCCAAGTGGGATATGCCATCTGGAGTCAGAGACGAGATGTCCTCAATCATTAGTAGCCCAAACAGGAGGCCAGACACCCCACACTCTCTCAGAAAGATGTACCACACCTTCTTACTCTCTAGATGGGACTTCACATTTCCCTCATGATGAAGACCATGTGTCCCCCACTGACTGCTACAAATAGCATCCTCACCCTTTGCTCTGCTGCATGAAGCATCCTTTACTTCTTGCTGCTGCAGGATTGCTGTTGCTGTGGGGTAAGGACTCCCCTCCCACTGCTTCTGATGGGACCCCTCCTGCCCCTCTCCTTCCCCCACCCTCAGCTGACTCAGCAGTTTAGTTCTTGTCTCTGCACATCCTCCTTCAATTTGGAAAGTTCCTTTCTCCTTCTCCATACCAGCCGGCCCCTCTCCCACTTCTTGTACCCCTCTTGCTGTCTACCTCTCTTCCCCCTTCCCATGCCTCAGTTTCCCCATCTGTAGAATGAGATCATGGGGCCAGGTGAATTCTGTGGGAAGTGCTGGCTTTGAAGTGCAGTTTGGAAAGCGCCCTCCCCCACCCCCCTGCCTTTTTCAAGTTTAGGTTTCCTTGGACCTCAAGTACACAAAGTTGGATGAATCTGACTCTTCTTTGGCTTATATCACAATTGTCACCGGCCTTCCCAAGATCCTTCTTGTGCTTTATTTTACATGATATTCTCCCGGTTCCTTTCTAACTCAGCTCTTTAATGTGTTTGATATGCATCCACGAATATATATGTTAACTTGGAAATATGTAGCGTTCTTTTACACCTGTCTGTGTTTTAATTTACATAAATGATATCATGCTGTGGATTTTTTCCTGTTTATGATTTTTTTTTTCTTAACACTTGCTCAGATTTCCCCATATTGCTTTGTTATTCTAGTTCATGGCTACCATGTGCTGTGGAGATTTGCACAAGAGGGCATCCCTCACATTTACTTGATCCCCTAGAGATGGATACTTGGGTTGATTCTGACTCCCTGTTATTACAAACATTGTTGCAGAGAACATCCACATATATGTTCCTGCTTGTAGTTTTTGTCTGGATACATACCCAGAGATGAAATTGTTGGGTTATAGGGTATAAACGTACTTCACTTCATAAAGTATGTCAGAGTGCTTTCCAAAAAAGACTAGTTTATACTCCCAGCTGCTTCCTCTTATCTTTCCAGTGTTTGATATTATCCTTTTAATATTTGCCAATCTAATTGATCTAAAGTGGCGTTCCCCTGCTGATTTAAGTTGCATTTCTGTGATCCCTGGTGAGGTGGAGCATCTTTTCATATACTTGTGAGTCATTCAGACTTCTTCTTCTGTGAATTGACTATTCCTGTCCTTTGCCCATTTTTCAATTGCTTTCCCTCTCTTTTCTTGCTGGCCTGCAGGAGTTCTTTGTGTGTTCTAGCTAGGAATTCTCTCTGAGATGAGAATCTTTTCCGAGTCTGTTAGCCTTCTGTTCCCTGTATCTTGGTTGAATAAAGCGATCATTGTTTCTAATCCCACTTGACCCTCAGCAAACCCATATGATGGAGCCAGGAACAAGACTATTATCTCATTTTATAGAGAAAGATTCAGAGGCCCCAGAGAGGTCAATAACCCTTACAAGGCCACAGATTTGGATCTCAGAGCTCCAGAATGGAATTCCAGCTCCTGTACAGCTGGGTGACAGCAGGTGGTTTTTGCTACTCTGAACATCATTTGTCTCCTGAGCATGTCAGGGATGTGGATGTCCTGTTTTTAGGCAGCTGTGAGCGATGTTAAATGTCCAGCCCTGAGCTTACCCTGGCAACTTCCATGTCATCACCTCTTTCTCTCTCCTGCTCCCACAGAAGCAAACTGTACCTATTTTAAATTCTTTACTACGGGGGAGAATGCGCGCATCTTCCAGAGAACTACAAAGAAAGGTGAGAACTGTACCCCGCGGTGTGGTGGTGGGGACGGCGGGGGTGGGGGGGAGGTTATGCTGACCATGCCAGAGGAGTTCTTGATAGCATTGTCTTCTTCTCTGCTTTGCCCTGGGGAGGTCCCATCTTTGGGGACAGGCGGTTCTCCCGAGCCTCGTGCCTGATGCTTCTGCCCCAGCTCTGCCTTTGCCACGTGCTGTGTGGCTTTGGGCAAGTCACAGCCCTTTCCGAGAACAGTACTTTAACATCTTAAAGATGCGCATCTGCCATGTGCTAAGCACAGCCCCGAGTATTTCATTTGGATGTATTTCTTTCGGTCCCTTGCATGACCCTGTGGAGCAGCGGCTTTATCTTCATCTTCCAGATGAGAAAATGGAAGCCCAGAAATGGTTACATTTACTTTTCCTGGGAAGTGGCAGAGGCAGAGTTCAAACCCAAATAATCCTGACTCTAAAGCGATGCTCTTCTATAGAACCTTCTGTGAAGTGGAAATGCTGTCTATCTCTGCTGACCAATATGGTAGCCACTGGCCCCATGTGGCTGCTGAGCACTTGGAACGTGGCTAGTGTTTTGTTTTTTTTTTAAGATTTTATTTATTTATTTGACACAGAGAGAGAGCATGAGCAAGGGGGAGGAGCAAGGGGAGAGGGAGAAGCAGGCTTCCCGCCGAGCAGGGACTCCGATGCGGAACTCGATCTTGGGACCCCGGGATCATGACCTGAGCAGAAGGCAGATGCTTAACTGACTGAGCCACCCAGGCACTCCTAAATTTTGTTTTAAGTTAAATCCATTTAAAATTAAAAGACCACACGTAGCTCGTGGCAACCATACTGAACAATGGGACTCTTAGGACTTTCCCCTTTCTGCTATAACCACAGCCTCTCCATCACCCCTGTATCTCAGTATCCCTCCCCACCAGTAAAGGGATTGTGATCGTGTCATGACTCTTATCTGGTCTTTGCAAGGATTTAATGAGACGATGCCGCTAAAACAGACAATGTGGTGCCCGGTACATAGTAAACTGGTCTCCCTCCTTTCTCTCTTGTCTTTGTGCTCAGTGAGCCCGGTCCGGGAGAGTAAATAATCACAGTGCGCATGTTCGGCACACCTGCTGTGTGCCCAGGCGCTGCACTGGGCACTTTACATAAGCAATTTCTAATCCTCACTGCAGCCCAATCGAATAGGGATTTCAATCCTGATTTTCTAGAGAAGGAAACCGAGGCTCAGAGAGGTTTGGTGACTTCACCAAAATCCTCCAGGGGGGAAGTGGCTGGGGAGAATTCAGACTTGGGCCGTTCCACTGTAACATACCGCCTTCTCTGTTGTCACCCACACGCCCACTGCCTCAGCTGCTTCATCTGTAAGCAAACAGGCACCGGATCCTAAGTAACGATGGGCAGTTCCCATTCCCTTTTAATCCTGGCAGTGTCTCCTCTTTGCTCTGTGGCCTCAGGCAAATCACTGACCCTCTGTGAGTCTTAGTTCCTTTAACAGTGTAAGCAAAATATTGGACTGGATGATCTACCTGAAAATTCTTGTCTAGTTCTGCATCTTCCATCTTCCTGGTTCTGGGTCCCTACAGGGGAGTTCTTCCTACTTCCCACGTCCTCTGCTTCTTCCCTTTCCTCTCCTTGCAGAGGTAAATCTGGCAGCTGCAGTGATAGCAGTGCTAGGCCTGGCAGTCATGGCCTTGGGGTGCCTCTGTATCATCATGGTGCTCAGCAAAGGTGCAGATTTCCTACTCCGAGTTGGAGCCGTCTGCTTTGGCCTCTCAGGTGAGGGTTGGGAGCCTGGAGACTGAGGGAATTGCATGCTGGGAGGTTGGATCTCC